CCAGAACCAGTCTCTGCCTTTGGGGAGCCCCTACTCTATTGGGAGGACACAAACCATATAACAGATGGACAAGTGAATGTGCAGCATGTGAATCGTGCTTTTATCCTTCTGGGTACTTGTTTTTCTATTAGTATGGGATTTAAGGCTTCCCTTAAAGGACCCTGGTAATGCAGTGGTTAAGTGCTCAGCTGTTAACTCTAAGGTCTGCGGTTCAAACCCTCTAGCAGCTGCATGGGAGAAAAGACCTGGAGCCCTGCTCCCAAGAAGATTACAGCCTAGAAAACCCCATGGGGCAGTCCCACTCTGCCCTTCAAGGTCACTGTGAGTCAGAATGTAACTGATGGTACCCACAACAACAAGGGTTTTGGGCAATTTGGGGACTTACTAACATGGGACCTTCTGTCTTCCTACTGCCACTGGGAGCTAAGAGGGGTGGTCTGGGCACTCCAGTCTCCACCATACCCAGCTGTCTGCTTCTGTCAAAGACCTGGCCCCAGTGGACATCTCAATTGAGGTCTGTGATGTAGACGTGTATAAGAAACTGGTACATGCCTGGCCAAAGGAGCTCCGTGTTGAAGCTGGGTTCTTGTTGTACTGGCATATGTGTTTGGTGATCTCAGATCTTAGAATTGTGAGAAGTGGCTCTTAATCCCAAAGTTGCTTGGAGCCTTTGCCCCAGGACTCTCCTAGGTTAAATATTGACTTCACTAGAGTCATGGCCCCATGATGGCAAGATATCTTGTAACTGCTGGATCCCCAGCACTCGGGAGAGTCCTGGGATTTTGTAAGTTCTTAGTTTGCTGAATGAAATAGTGACTTTATTTTCTTACCAGCTCAAATAAAACAATGATAAGACTCTTGGACTTAAAAATTCTACATCTACAAAGTAGCAGAACAACTCCCAACATGTTCCAAGTTGCCAGGTTGCTGAGTGCTCTGGTGAACTGCTCAGACTCCCAGGGTGTATTCACTCTTTCAGGGTACCAAGGTCTTAATTATGACACCTACCACTGGCTCAGATGCTAAGTGAGTAGTTTTCCCCCTTGATAGCTGATCCATCAGAAGGCTGTTTTCATTATCCATGGTTTGGACTGGGTTCTTTCTGTTCTCCATACAGGTTAGTCCTATCCCCTAGTCACTGATGATGTAGC